GCTTTAAGAAGTATTAACCCATAAAACTCATCCAGCAAGTGCTCCACTAATAAGAATCTGCAATTAGTACTAAGATGTCCCAAAGCCAAGAAGAAAATGCTAATATTGCACAAGACAGCCATCAGATCTTCCACTGCAGGTCTTCTAAGGTGTGTTTTTTATATCTTTGCCACATTTAATAGAAGTGTTTTATTGGAATAGATGTATATCACCAGGGACAGAAGTTAGTGAGTGGGCTTGATTCTGACTGTTGAATGTGGATTGTGCTCCTCTGTTTCAAGCAGCCTCATGGGATGATGTGTGACCAGAGCCATGGAGGAGATGTGATGCTACTTAGTGTGATTTCAGGATCTGTCTCTCACTTCTGGGCCCAAGTATGACAAAGCCATCTCTGGGTCATTCGAGTGAAACTTATCAACCTCTTAGTTTCTTCAGATTGTCTCTTTCTGTACTTTTGAGATCCGAAAGTTCAGTTAAGGGGAAAGTTCTCTTTGAGAACAAGATCCGACACCGCGTTACCAGAGCTAATTGGGGAGCCAGCCCTGGCTTCGGTTCTGTCTGGTCAGATTCCAGAAAAAAAGACTTCAGAATCTTGTCAGAGCAGAAGATAAAAGCTGATGTCAAAAGAGACAGTGTGTTCTCTCCTACTTTTTCTTTTGATGATGTAAGTCCTGGTGGTTTAATAGTGCTGGTAGTTAAGCAGGAAAGTTTTCTGTAGTTAACTGTTTGCAGTGACAGATATTAATTAGTTTTACTTCGACAGCAATTCTTCAGTAATAGCTCTCCAATGGCAATCCCTATTTGACTGATTTATAAGGGCTCTTTACCCTCTATTAAGAGACAAGTTAAACTTAAACTTAAATCTTATTACTTATAATTGGGGCTTAGAAAAAATAGTATAGACTTCAGACTTTTAAATTTTAATTATGAGTGCATTTAATAATCATGAAAGTCAGCAGCTAATTGCTCTGGTTTGAACTAGACACAATGCACGCTCTGTACAAGCTTCATCTTGTAGTTCAGCCAGTGCACCTCAACCCTGAATCCTGCTAATCCAATCTTGCAGGGTTTTTGCAATGGGACAGCCAGTTTGTCAATGTGTTTTGTGAGCTACACAAAAAAAGGAGCAAGGCTAGGATCACCAAATTCTTTCTGTATCCAAAAGCAGGCTTTGAGCTTACAGCTGCAGGAGGCAACTGCTCATGTAATAGCCCATTGTTCAGCAGCAACCTTTTTCTTCTGCAGCTGAAACTTAACACAGGTAAAATCAAGCGCTTGTCCATAAAACTAGTAATTTTTATGTCAGCTTTTCTAAAACTTTATTATTCTAATAATATTTTCAGTATTGTATACATTTTCAGCAATTTTATCTCTCTTTCTGGATGAGTATTCTATCAAACATATGTCAGTCCTTCATATTATTTATTTTTCCTTCTTTGGAGATTGGGTGCACTTAGATGTGATAATAACTTCCAGCTTGCAGTACTCAAAATTAACGGCCAGAGTATTGAAAAGCTTCACATAGATGTTAATAATCCTTTTTTTTGTGCAGTTTTTGTTGCTTCCATCTGTTACCACAGGAAGGATGACTTGGTAATAAACCCTGTTTATACCTTCACCACAAAACAAGAGAGAGGAAATGAGATGTCAGCAAAAACGCATAGTGAGACACAACCATGTTCAGCAATATTCTTTGTGACTTAAAGCCTCTTACAAATATGCTGTTGTTAATGCCCATATCTCTGAAGAGTTTGGGAATGTTGCAGTGGGGCAAGTTCATTCAGAATGCTGCTCCTCAGGTGCAGTGATGTCCACTGAGAATGAAGTCATCTCTGTTGTATGATTAACACTCTAATGCAATTTGAACTTCACCTTCAGGCTGCGACAGGACTATGCTGCAGTGTTTTACAATACTGAGAAACTATTGCATGCTTTAATTTGAAAGCTTGTATCCAAATGGTGTATTTGTGAGCATCCATATTTCCATGAGTTGATCTGAATTTGCAAGTCAGCCATCCTGGTAGCTCTGCTGGCATAAAATTGAGATTCTGTTCTCAGTATGCAAAGGTCTGGGTTTTATTCCAGTATCTAGCAAAAGGATCAATACAATTCATGACTACCCTCTCTCTATACATTCATATGCTGGGAATATCTGGGCCCCAGCAGACACCCACCCTCCCTTTTCCCAGTCTTACAAACTCAGCTGGATTCTCCAGAGCTCTGAAACCACATGCAGGTGTCTCCTAAATTTAGTAGCATCTACACGATAACTACCATGATGTCTGTGACACAGAAAATCCCACACCTCTCTGATACAATGAGCTTGGGCTTCAGAAGGGTTTCTGAGCAGCCCTGAATGTGCTGTACTAGAGAGGAAACAGCTGAGCAGCTGCAAGGCTTCATGTGCTTTTGTGGGAAGGAGTGAGAGACTGGGAATATGGGACATTCTTATTTGCCCTGCAGTGGAGGTATAGGCTTTTTTACCATGGTGTTAGCTAGGCAGGCCTTCAAGGCTAAAACATTCCACACTGGGGACCTCATCCAGAAGACTATAGTAGTCTTAGGCCCAGCACGAAGTAGCTTGTGGAAAGGAAAGGACACTTGTCACATGGCTTTTTCACAGGTTATTGCTGGGAGTTTCAAGACCACACTTTCGGTTACCAGTCCCATGCTGTCTTCTGACAGTGGCTTCTGTTATGGCTCTTGGTACTAAGTACAGATTCTGTACTTGACCCTGCATCTTTTTTTCCTTCCAAGAAGGCACAGTGCAGAAAAAGTGAAGCTCCCATTAACTGGCCAACCTAGGTGTGCCAGCACAGGCCCATGAAGTCCTGCTTGCTCAATGTGGCCTTGCAATTAAGTCCTTCCAGAGAACACCTGAAGGACCACAAAGATTTTAACTATGCAGGTTACTCTCCTGCTCAAACCCTCTCCCCACTCCAGTGGTTTGCAGCAGGTCAGTCCTCAGCGGTCCAAGATCATGATTTAGAAGAGTGAGGTTAGGCCCATGGAAGTCTGACATGTCAGGGTAGCTGAATGCAAGTCCTTTGGTGTATTAACCAGAGCTGCATCTCTTTACTGTGTCATCTGGACGTACTGCAACTTCTAAAAAGCCCTCAAATATATTTTTGAAAGCAATGTGGAATAAAAAAGAAACAATCTTCCTGTGACATCTTTCAACAGCACTTAAACGTTCCATTAATATTATGAATGAATCCAGCACATAATCTGCTGCTGAAAAAAAATTTCCAGCGTTGTATTCCAACTGCATTAAAAGCTGTATTTCCATTAATGTAAAGAATGAATCCAGGGTGTAATATATTGTTGAATCAGAATTTATGCAACAGGTTAGTTAAGAGGCTACAGTCAATTCCTATAACATGACTATCTGAAGCCTGACTTAATACTGCAATTGAAAACCAGCAGCAGATTGTGTTCTTCCCTTAATGCCTGTGTCCCTTTCCCTTCTCTTTTGTTATTTTAGGAAAACTCTTAAATATCGAGGTTTATTTCCTAATCTGTGAAGATGTCTATGCTCTTCAGCAAGGCATTCTTATTTCAGTGACAGGAGTTACAAGCAGAGGGATACTTAGAGATCTAAGCAGCTCTCTCCAATTCAAAAGACATAAGAAAATCAGGAGGTGGCAGCTCAGTGGGGGGGGGGGGGGGGGGGGGGGTGCTGACATCCTGCAGGGCTAACAAGTTCGCAGGAGGAGAGAGGGACCCTTTCAGGCTCAGATGGAGCAAAGGATCCTGGCAGAAATTCCCCTTCCCTGAAACGGGCACCTACAGTTGCATATTATCTTCCTGTGTGCCAGCTAGTGCCTTGGTGAGAAAGAGAAGGGCTTCCCCTGCTTGGTTTTGACACCTTCACCTCTCTTCTCTCTCTCAGAGAAGTGCTGCCAGTGGTGACATATGCCTGTATTGTTCCTCCCATGAGATGGCAATATATAATGCTACCTAAAGTTATCCCTTACAATTTCACTTCTGCTCTGATGAGCCAGGATTTTACTAACAGGTTTATTGCCAAGCTTGATATCTTGGGAATTAGCATTACTCCATTTCTGTCTCTATTATCAGACTCATTCTTTCAGCCCCCATCTATAGGATTCCTTGTTAATAATTTCATACTTTCATTATCATCTTCTACAGTTTTAGCATTTTTTATTTTTATTAATGCAAAATCGCTTTATCAGTCTGCTAATATTAGCAGAGTTTTACTTTTAGCTAGTCTTGGCCTTCTCAGAAATGCTTAGACATCTTCAGCCAAAGGCAGCTGAGGATATGTAGTCCCTTGCAGGATCAGATCCAGACATGAAAGGAACTTGTATGCTCTCTAGATGTATTAAACTAATTACTTTGACTTCCACATACTCATTGTGGGTTCAAAGGCCAACAATGGGGCATCCTATTTGAAAATTTCAAGGGAGACGGCTGAGCACAGGAGAGCCTGGGAGCAGGTTTCAGTTATTTTATTAGACAAAGGGTTAAGAGCCATGCCTGGGAGGAGAGATGAGTGTTTCTTGATGTGGGATTTAGAGTGCAGCAAGGAGGACTTGAGGGCTTTTGATCTGGCATCTTTCTCAAGCATTATCTCACTTCTTTTAAAAAGAAAAAGGGAAAAGAAAAAAGGATGGAAACATCTCCTAGGCAGGAGATTCTGTAATGAATTCTGACACCAAGAGGAGCTTATGAAACACTTGTGTGGGTACAGCTAGCAAGTCCTGGGGCAAACAAAAATTCATCCCAAAATGTTAAGGAGTTTTGTTCACTGGGAGCAGATCCCCTCTCCTGATATTTCCAGCAATAGATCAGGAAACAAATTTCAATATTTTGGACAGGCTTATGCATTAAGAGTTATGGCCTGGAAAGGCCATTAAGAAAATAACTGTAGTAAAACTGTGAATCAATTATGGAGAATATCTGAAATAAGATTTTAGTTTATAGATACTTTCAGGCAATAAAGTGTGATGAGTTAATTCTCTTATGCTTATTTCTAGAGCTGCAGAGATGAGATTAGAACTTGCAGATTCCTGGCACCTTGTCCATGCTGAGTCCACAGACAATTTAACTTCTACAGCATTTACTGTGCTAATGCATGGGAAATGGTAAGTGTTTTAATGTTACTGTTCCAGAGTTCTATTTCTCCACTTTTCATTTTTTTAGCCTCCCAGTATGAACCCCAAATAACTGCTCTGCAGGAAAACGTTACTGTGAAAGAAAAAGCATATAATAATACAAATTCCAGATTACTGAGTGTAACTGGCTATCTGTTCTGGACAAAAGCAGATTCCCATTACATGTTTCTATGCAGCTTGGGACGTCAGTAGTCATTTGAACCAAGTTAGAAACTTTTCATAGAATGGTTTGGGTTGGAAGGGATCTTAAATTTCATCCAGTTCCAACCCCCCTGCCATGGGCAGGAACACCTTCCACTAGACCGGGTTGCTCCAAGCCCTGTCCAACCTGGCCTTGAATACTGCCAGAGGTGGGGCAGCCACAGCTTCTCTGGGCAACAACAGTATCTCACCACCCTCACAGTAAAGTTCTTCCTAATACCTAACCTAAATCTACCATCATGCAGTTTAAAGCCATTCACACTTTCCCTGTCACTACATGCTCTTGTAAAAAGTCCCTCTCCAGTATTCTTGCAGGTTCTTTTTAGGTACTGGAAGTCTGCAGTCCAGCTGGTTATTGACATAGAAAGCAACACCCCCTTTTTGTCTCCCCTGCCTGTTCTTCATGAAGAGCCTGTATCTTTCCATTCCAACAGTCCAGTTATAGCAGCCATCCCACTACATCTCTGTGATGCCAATAAGATCATGATCCTACAGGTGTGGACACATCTAACTCTTCTTATTTATACCCTGTGGTATGTGAGTTTGCACAGAGTCATTGCAAAGGACAAGGGGCAATGGGTGTAAACTGTAGCATAGGAGGTTCCATGTGAACATCAGGAAAAATTCCTTTACTGTGAGAGTGACAGAGCACTGGAACGGGTTGCCCAGGGGGGTTGTGGAGTCTCCTACATTGGAGATATTCAAGGCCCGCCTGGACAAGTTCCTGTGTGATGTACTCTAGGTTACCCTGCTCTTGCAGGAGGGTTGGACTAGATGATCTTTTGAGGTCCCTTCCAACCCTTAGGATTCTGTGATTCTGTGATTTATGCTGGGCCCCTGATGAAGCCGATTTACTGGCTGGAGTGGTTGGAATTCCTATGTGCTCTTCTTCAGGTGCTCTCCTGCTATTGTCTGCTTAGCCCTAAAAATAGGCAGTGTAACTATTTAATGTGAAACCTGGGACTGAATTGTAAAATGTGTGAAAAATAGTACAGCAGCTACTATAAGTTCCAGTAGTTTTCATTCAAAGTTGCTTTCAGAACAGAAGCTACAAAAGAGTCATTTCAAGAAATATACCTCAATAGAGAAGAGGTATGTGAAAAGCCATATAAGGGTGGGCTAGATTCAAACACCACTTTCATACTTGTAATGAAAAATCCAGTGTGTTCTCCAAACGCTCCCGATATGAATCAGTACATCCAAGAGTAGGTGTAAATAGAGTCTGATAACAATTTAGCTCTATTCCTGCTGCCTACGCTACTGCAGTATTTTAATACTACAAAATTGTTAGTGGATTTCATATCTGTGAAACACTGTTATTTCCCCTCCTCCTCATAAGGTAGGGAACTATCCCTTCTCACAGGTAAGTAGGCGTTAAGTCTGACAGAGGAAGTGGGGTTGTTGGGTGCCCTGGATTATGTGCACACCCAGGTACAAACACACTGATGTGGTTTGCTCATCACTGCTTGTACCTACAAGGCTGATCACGCAAGAAGTTGATCCAGAAACTGAATTTTCAGAATCAGAGCCGAAATCTTCTTGCAGAATGGATTTTCTAAATAATCCAATTGCTTCTAACAGAACTAAGTCCTTTGCCTAGTCCTGTGAAGAGAAACTGGAGGGTTTAGACTACATGCAATAAATACATAGTCCTGAAAGGCATTTCTTTATGGACACTAGGAAAATTTATACCTTAAAAAGTCCTGGAGAGTTTTCTTTTCAGGCCTTCCTATGTGAAGACTCACGTTTACTGCCTCTGTGTTCTTTACAGCATTAAACACTAAACTTTCCTTAGTGAGTTTCTGTAGTGAGACCTTCATATGATGAAAATGCTGAGGACATGATGGCTATTCCTGTACCATGAAACATCAAGCATTACTTTCTTTATACCATTGCTATGCCTGTTAAAATTGGATATATTCATTCTTTGACTGCTGGGTGCAATTTCATGTTCCGTAAGTGTCAAAGTGACTCAGAATCCATGGACCACTACACATAAAATTTTGATTTTCCATCTTTTATTTTATATATTATACTTGAAAACAAAATGTTCTTGAAGCTTGATCAAAGCAAGGAAAATAAGAATGTTTCATTCAAAAAACTTGGAATGGGATGTTTGGACAATGCCAAGAGTACCCTCCCTTCCCACTTTTGTTTGGTTGCCAAAAAAAATTTAAGCCAAACTGATGCAGTTGGTGAAGAGCATTTAGCTTGTGGGAATCACATCTTCTGGCAGAAAATGGTTTCACCAACACTTCATGCTGCATTTTTCAGCAGGTTTTCTGTGTGCAGCATCCACCTCAGGGCCCCTGCAAGGTGGTGGCTTTGAGAGGCTTGTGAATACTCTCTAGTCCTTTTTCAAATCAACTTTTCAAGGTGCACCTATTTGGTGCTATAGTCTGCAGTCCATACCCCTCGTATGGGTGTCCTTGTGTGCAGTACCCCTGAGAACTGAAATAGGTCGGTTAGGATGATAGAGAATATACCCCACCCAGAGTTTTCCCATTCCATCTGTACCTGTTGTCCATGAGACTGTCTGAAACCTGTTTTTACCTGTTGCTGTGCTTGCCTCCACAACCTCCTGTGGCAGCAAGTACCAGAAATTCAAACATGTTTTGTAAAGAAACTTGCTTTTTTATCTGTTTTAACCCAATCTCCTACTGGTTTCATCAAGTGCCCCTTGCTCTCAGGTTCTAGGACTTGGTGAAAACAGTTCTGCCTTTACCTGAGCAAGTGTAGGCAGGGGAGGTGGAGGAGGTGAGAGGAGGAGAGCATTACATGGATCTCCTACAATTCCCTGATCACAGAGCTCTATAAAATATGTCCAATAGTAGGTTAAGTAAACTAGAGCCCTAGCAGAAGCCAGAGTAACACTCTCTTGGTAGCTGTGTCCTGCCCCTGAAGACTAGCTCAGCACTTACAGATTCCTAAATAAGGGGACCAAATTAGTGTCTTAAATGTGGGCAGTCACTGCATGCAAGAGAGCATGTAGGCTCCCTACCCTGTACAGGAAACTTGTCTGGTTCTTAGCCTACATTTCCTTTCTTTGGAATTATTTTTATATTTCTAAGCATAAACCCATAGACCACACTAAGTAATTCCTTTCCTTTCTTGATTTTCATTTTCTCCGCATGTTTATCTTGTCTCACCCATACCTGTCACACTGTCAGGTTATACAGTACAAGGGCTTTTTTTCGCTTGTTCTCTGTTCACTAGATTCTCCTGTCCTATGGCAATTTTAGTTGTGTTTTTACCTCACTCTGATTTCCCTGAATAAGATTTGTCTGTTGGCTGTCTCAGGTATGTTTTATCTCAAGAGACATTTGGTGTCTGGTATTTCTCAGCTCTCTGACTGGTTTCTCTTAAGGTCCGTGAAGGCGTGTAATTCCAGAGACACCCTTTTTTGTAGTCTCGCTGCTTGAAGCGGGGACCAAGAGACAGAATGGAGAAATAAAATCAAGTATGTGCCTGTGAGCTACCCTCTCCTATTAGGGGCTTTATGCAACTATTTGCTATTAGAGGATTCACGCAGCTGTCACCAGAGATGTTTCTGAATCAAAACCTTGGAATTAAAATTGTGGAGCCCCGGGGGGGAAAGGAGCTGCTCCAGACCCAAAACCTGCTGCTAGGGTCCCTCTGGCTTCTCTCTCCCTCCAGTTTCCTCTGAGGCACGTGTTTCCTTGTGAAACAAAATGTCTTAAAGGATGCAGTGCTGGTGCCCTCTTGTGGGGGAAAAAAGAGGTGAGGTAAAAATCGTGACATCAGTGGGACAACGTCTAAAACAGGTCAGAACAGATTATTTTGGCAAGGGGTGCGGATGGGGAGTTCACTCAGCTACGCAGAAAGTCTTAGTTCAAGGACTTACTGATAGGCACCAGAGGGGTAGTGGCCAAATGAGATTTCAACAGACCACCTAAGGTGGGTCTGCCTGCCTCACAGCTCGCATATGTGGCATGGCACTGTGGAGCACAGCCAAGAGATGCTGGCGTCAGTGCCACCGCAGGCAGCATGCTGTCCCCTACAGAGAGCCACACCCCACCACAGTGGTGGGGCAGCTGCCTTAGCAATACCTCACATGGGCTCCTAGGACCGGGCCAGTAGCTTGGGCCCAGCTCAGATCTGATGTGGCTGCAGGTTTGCAAAGGGGGTTCAGTACCCTGTAATACTAATTTCTTTGGACTCCACTGTATGGCACAGCAAGACCTTGCATCTCATCATCTCACATGGGTCATCTCCGAAAAGGGACTGTATAGCTATTTGTTTTATTTATGTAATATATATTCAAGGTTTCTTGCATCTCTGTGTTCTGGCTTTTCAAGTTCTCTTTGTAACAGAAAGAATGGTTCCCTCTGAATTTCAGCTCAGTACATTTCCCATTCTTTTTTTTTTTTTTTCCCATGAGCTAAGAGCCTATTGGTTTGTTGTCAAATGGTTTCTGTGCTATCTTTTTATGAAAGCATGAGCACACATTGTTCTAGTACATGAAAACAGGCTCTTCACCTGAGATGCCGAGCTTTCATAGGGTTGGCCTGCAGTCTGTCATCTCCTAGAGAGTTGTCTGAGACACCTTCAGTTTCTTTCAGCAATTAATAGTTCTGGTTTTAGCAGTTTGAAGAAAATGCCTGTGGACAGTAAACAATTTCTTGATGCAAGAGTTTGCCTGCAGTAGTATGTGAAAAAAGGCACTTGCATCTTTCTGAGGTAACAGGCTATTAGACTCCACTTTCTTTAAGCACAGGAAAAAAAGGCTGTGAGACAGCAGAATCCAG